GGGCTTCCCCTCCTCCCTGCTGCCTGGGCTCACATCCTGTTCCCGCCTGCAGGGGGGAGGGGCTGCCTTCCGGCTGACCCGCCAGTAAAGGGTTAAGACCCAGCCTCTCTGGTTATGAATATTCAAGAGGAGGCGGGCCGCAAGCAAGCTACACCCCTGCATTCCAAGCTCCTTGCGACTTTTCCCTTTTACAGCAATAGCTCTTGTGAGGCGTGAGAATCCGGAACTGGTCACACATTTTCTCCTATTGGTCAACTAGAAGAGTTCTATTTACATATACAATACCGGGCGGGGCTGTCTGGTGAGGTCACGTGGTTGTGAGTAACTGAAGAGCTTTGCAGCGCAGGGGTGCGGCCGGAGCTCCAGTGGCGCAATCGGTTAGCGCGCGGTACTTATATGACAGTGCATAGCGAGTAATGCCGAGGTTGTGAGTTCGATCCTCACCTGGAGCACTTTTATAGTCTTTTATACACTTCATAAATGAACCAAAACATAACATCGCTTCCTGTAGTGAAAGTCTTGTCGGGCGTCAGACTCATGAGACTTTGGCATCCTTGCGGAATGTTTACTGAGATATGGTGCCATTTCAGTCTCGGCCACCAGGGGATGGTATCATCTCTGACTAGATTTCTAACTTAGAGTCTTCAAATCTCGGTTTAAGACTTTTTCAGAGCTGTATCAAGCTACAGTTCTTTGGAAAACTATAGAGACCTGCCCCTTTTTCCATATTTCGTTGTCTTGGAGTTTTCAACCCTTTGACTCTTTTCCTCTCCGTTTCCTAATCGACTTGTTTCCTTCCAAGAAATATTGCTCACTCACCATGTCCTGGCTCTGTTGAGGTATGAATGTAACAGCATTGAACAAGACAATGTCCCTTGTCCCTGACGTCTTGATATTCTAGTGGTGAGACAAACTGCTATAAGCATAAGAATTAGGTACATTTTACATGTTAGATATTAGGTAGGACAGATGGAGTTGGAGGTGAGAAGTGGGTTGCTGTAGTAGTGGGGTATGAACTCATTGCAATAGCTTTTTTGTTTTGTTACTGTGCTTGCTGGAGAGTCAGAGAAAGAAAGAGAAAGTGAGAAAACATCTGCCTGGAAGATGAATATAGTACAATTTCATTTCATCTCTTATTTCTCTGTTCAGGATGTTGGGCACACAAACACACATGCCCAGCATAATTTTCAAACCTCAGAATCTGAGACACCAGCCCTGCAGTTGGCCATGTGGGATCCAGACACCTTAACCTCCAGGCCACCTACTAGCTCAAGAGAAGGTAACATCTAAGCATAGATCTGAAGTAAAGGAGTGAGCCACAGGGACACCAAAAGTGTGTTCCAGGCAGAGGACAACAGCCCAAGCGTCCTGCATGGAGCATGCCAAATGTGTTGGCAAAGCCCGTATGATTACAGCAGAGTGACCAAGGGGGAGGGTAGGAGATGGAAGCCAGGCTATGTGGGCAGTGGGGAAGACTTTGGACTTTCAGAATTTTTTTTATTTGGTCTTTGGACTTTGCCTTCTCTGTGATCTGACTCAGGTGTCATAAACTTTTTTGGCTCTTAGGGGGATGGGGAAGGAGACTGAGAGCAGGGGCCAGAGCAGGGAGAGTAGGAAGAGGCTGCTATGAGGGGTTAGCAGGAAATGATGCAGAGTAGGATGAGGGTGAAGGTTAGGTGCAGTGCAGGAGGGCAGGTTATAGTTTTGCTTTATTTATTTTAATTAAAATTTTTTTTCTTCTGAGAGAGACAGCATCCCTAACACGGTCTTCATTGCTGCCATCTATCCCTGCCACAACCAGCCCTGGACCATGGCCATGGTCCTGCCAGGCAGATTTTGGAACTAGGAACCTTCCCATGTGGGTCAGCCTCACATAGTGTCATGTTACTGCCATGTCAGAGGTTATTTTTTTGACAGTTTCTGCTGCCCAGGCTAGCCTCAAGCTGGAGCAGCTCCTGCCGCAGCTTCCCGTTGCTAGAATTATAGACATGCTACCAGGCCAGCCTTTAGGTTGGACCAGGGCACAAACTTGGGCTTCCATGTGGTCCCAGCCTGTGTATTGCAGCGTCTTAGCAGTGTTTGCCACCTTGGCTGGGCCTGTAGATCAATTGTAAAGGTGAATCAGACACGATTGCTGTTGGTGTAGGGTATGGGTTCAAGAGACTGGAGTTAGGACACCTCCCAGGTGTTTGGCCTAAACAGTGGTAGCCAGTGGTAGGTGCTATTATTATTATTTTTTGAACTCCATTTATTTACTTATTTTAATTTGGTCAGAGAGGGACAGAGAGAGAGAAGGAAAGTGAGATGAGAAAGCAAGTTACCAGGTCTTGGACCGAACCACAGCCAGCCATGTGGGAATCTACCAACACCCGAAGGCCCTTGGTGATATTATCTTAAGTGAAGTGTTGTTTGTTTGTTTTCAAAGGGTCAGAGAATCTGTCCTGACTAAAAAGGGCCAGAGAGGTCTGTTTCTGGAAAAGCCTCTTGCTCTTTTTCTTTTTGGAGAAGTTTCTGTAACAGGGCGCTTGTGCTCACCATAAAGACAAGAGACAGAGAGACAGAAAGTGAGAAATCACCGCCCCCCCACCCCGCCCCAGGGGAATGATGATCTTGGGCACAGTGTCAGTTTAAGCCACAGGTTCCAGACTCGAACCGTGGTCAATTATATGGGAGTCCAGCGACATAGGCATTACGCCAACTGCTAGTCCCAAAGTCTCTTGCTCTCTGCCTGCCCAGTGCTTTTGGGTCTCTCCCAACTGTCTTCCACACATCAGGGCCCGAGTTCTTTCCTATAAAGGAGCCAGTTTCCTAGAAGAGGAGGCCAAAGGTCAGAGTCTGCCACTGGGCAAGGGGAGGGAAACAAGTGAGGGATGAGGGAGACCAGAGGAGGGAGGGAGGAGGGAGAGGGGACTGCCAGAGGGGAACAAGGGGGCATGATGGCTTGGGAGTCAGGTGAGCAGGAAGAAGGGAGAGGGAGGAGAAAGGAGACTGAGAGGAGAGGGGATAAGGAATCAGAGGATGGGGAGGCTGGAAATGTGGAGGCTGCCAGGGAGGGGAAGAAAAGGGAGAGGGGAACCGGCAGAGGAGGAAGCCCGGTAGAGGAGGGGGGAAAACAAGAGGCAAAGGCGGAGGGGAGAGCAGGAGGAGGAAGCGGGAGGAGGAGGGAGGGAAGGGGCGGAGGACGGCCTAGAGGGAACCCGGCGGAGAAGAGCGGGGTCGTGGGGGCGGGGGGCGGGGGGGGGGGGCGGG